TATTGGGTAAATATTCTTTCCCATTCTGTGGGCTCTTTCTGTATGCCCACTAGTCCAGCCTTTCTGGAAAACAATATGGACAGTCCTTCAAAAACTAGAAATTGAGCTTCCATATGACCCTGCAATACCACTTCTCGAAACATATCCCAAGGATGCAAAAAAGCACAGAAGAAATGACATCTGTACCTATATGTTCATTGTAGCACTATTCACAATAGCCAAAATCTGGAAACAACCCAAGTGCCCTAGAACAGATGACTAGTTAAAGAAACTTTGGTACATCTACATAATGGAATACTGTTGTCAGGAGATGAACTTTGCTTATAAATGGATAGGTATGGAGAGTATCATACTAAGTGAAATGAGTCAGAAAGAGAGTGACAGACATAGGACTGCACTCATTTGTGGAGTATATAACAACATAACATGAGGCTGACACCTAAGGAAAGTAGATACACAGGACCGATAGATTGCTCCATAGCTGGAAGCCTTCCTCATAAGCAAAGGGGAGAAACCAACTGGAATAGAGAAGGGATCGCTAAGAAAAAGATGGCTGGAGGAATCAGTCAAGATGGGAGATGTGTGCAGAAAGTAGACAAAGGACCAAACATGATAGCCTCTCAGGGTCTGTATTGCAAACCATAATGCCCAAAAGTAGAAAGAGATTATGGGGAATCGTATCTGCCATGGAGGCAGAGTGAGGCTAGGAAAGTGGTTATACCAGGGATATTGGTGGTGGGGAATGTACACTGATGGAGGAATGGGTGTTTGATCATTGTGTGATTATAACCCAAACATGAAAGCTTATAACTATCTCATGATGATTCAATAAAATTTTTCAAAAAATGACCCAGGCCTTCTGCTTTCTGGAAACCATAGGCAATGCATAAGGGCCCATTATGGTCATCATAACTAACAAAACATGCTGGAGAAACAAGAAAATTATAGTTGGGTCCAGAAAGATACAGTGGGTAGGGCGCTTGCCTTGCACACGGCCCATCTGGGTTCAATCCCTGGCATCCCATGTGGTCCCCCAAGCCCTGTCAGGAGTGATCCCTGGAGCACAAAGCCAGGAGTAGTAAGCCCTGAGCATTGCTGGATTTGCTCCAAAACTAATCAAAATTCTATCAGAGTTGATGATACAAAGAGGACACCAACAGAAGGAGAGGGATAGATGTAGAATGACTGTGCTCATTTGTGGGATATGAAAAACAATATGAGACCATGACCCATGGAAAACAGAAATGAAGACCAGGAAGACTGGCCCATGGTTGTAAGCTTGTCACAGTGAGGGGAAAAGGGAGAGGCAGTTAGGACAAAGGAGGGATCACTATGACAATGACAATGACAACCCTGGACAAGAATTGAGTGCTAAAAGTAGAGAAAGGCCTATACATGATAACTTTATAGTACTGCACCACAAACCATAATGACCAAAAGAAGGGGGCAGGGGAGAGAAAAAGAGAGAGAGGGAAAGGGGAGAGAGAGAGAGAGAGAGAGAGAGAGAGAGAGAGAGAGAGAGAGAGAGGAAAAGTGTGTGCTGGAGAGGCAAACAGGGGTGTGGAAAGAGGAAAACTGCGTTATTCATGGTGGAAAATGCACACTGGTGAAGGGATGGGTGTTGGGTGTTGGAACACTGTATGAGTGAAACCAAATCATGGACAACTTGTAACTATCTCACAGTGATTTAATAATAAGTAAACAAAGAGAACCCCAAAATGAAAATGGGTGATTTTTGGAATATCATGAGATTTTTATTACAGAGGTACATATTTGCTACTTGTTTATAAAATAGTACTGAATTATAAAAAAAAAACCAGAAATATATATCACACTTCAGTATAGATTCCCTCATACAAACTATGATCAACACTATTCACATGTTGTCCCTTTAAGAAAGAACTACATTTTTACTTAAGCTATTATTTTTGAAAATAAAATTCTGATAATCTTCAACCAACAAAAACTATCATAATATCTAACTTAAGAGTGATTTCTTTGGAATGTAAAAATTTTACAATGACCTGGAGAAAATGATAGCTAGGCAAAATAAAGATTCTTATTATAATTAATATTTAACTCACAGAGGTCTTTAAAATGTGACTATGAATACTGCATTCATAATAAGCAAAATATGTCAGAATATTGATCAGGAGAGAATTTCTCATTTATTGCTTCTTTGAGTTTTTCCTAGAACTTCCCTTAAAAGAAACTGATACTTAAAGTTATTCGGAGTTAACCATGAGGGGGCTGGAGCGATAGCACAGTGGGTAGGGCATTTGCCTTGCACGCGGCCAAACCGGGTTTGATTCCCAGCATCCCATATGGTCCCCTGAGCACTGCCAGGAGTAATTCCTTAGTGCAGACCCCTGCGCATCACCGGGTGTGACCCAAAAAGCCAGAAAGAAAGAAAGAAAGAAAGAAAGAAAGAAAGAAAGAAAGAAAGAGAGAGAGAGAGAGAGAGAGAGAGAGAGAGAAAGAAAGAAAGAAAGAAAGAAAGAAAGAAAGAAAGAAAAGCTTTAACCACAAAAGGCCAGAAATATTTGTTATGAAAATCAAAACAAGTTATAGTGATAAAAATGAAGAATACTACTTAGCCTGAGGAAGAAAATTCTATTAATAAAGTCACAAGAGGCTAGAGTTCCAACAGGTAGGGCACTTGCCTTGCATGCGACTAACCTGATCTGATCCCCAGTCCCATGTATGGTCTCCAGAGCCCCACCAGGAGTGATCCCTGAGCAGAGAGTCAGTCCTGAGCACCATCAGATGTTGCTCCAAAACCCAAAAATAAAGTCAAAAAGTGCTACAGATCATCATGTACTCAGACCAAAGAAAATAACAAATCTACGTAATACTACAGGAATGGATTGCCATTCAGTGATTCATCAATTCACTTCTGCATTCACTTAAAATTCTGTCAAACAAGAGAAAAGGAATTTTTGATTGATCAGAGCAAGAATGGCATTACATGGCTGTTCACACGTGGCTTATGTCAAAACATGTGCATACATTTACCAAGTAGAAAAGGAGAAGACGAGACACTTTCCTCAACAAGAAAACAGTATATGTGTTTAGTATATGTTTATATAGTTAGTAAATACGGGCAGAGAGACAGTACAAGCGGTAAGGTACTTGCTTTGTATGCAGCCAACCCGGGCTTGATCCCTCACACCACATATGGTCCTCTGAGTACTTCCAGGAGAGGCCCCAGAACGCAGAGCCAGGAGTAAGGCCCGAGCACTGTGAGGCATGACCCAAAAAACAAAACTACAAAAATGTTAAGTATATATAAGGCCTAAAACTTATCTATAGCACTATCAACTAGGGTACTTGGGCATGCAGGGAAGAAAGATGAAGAACTTTACGAACAAAAAGAAAAGAAGGGTTCATCTTAAGAGGCCTTGAAAGATATGATCAAAAGTTCAAAGCTGAAAAAATAAAAGCTTCCCTTCTCAGATCTGGAACAAGGAAAAATAACCACTCTTGCCACTTCTATTTAACCTAATACTGAAAATCTAAGCCAGATACTTAGACAAAGATTTACAGACATTCCACCACCACCGCCATGTAAGCTCATCTTCAGAGACTCATGATTCAATCTCAAAAGAGATAAACTAGCAGCAAAAATTTCTTGGAAACACCAGTCCCTGACTGAAAACTCTGACACAAACTCGGAAGAGGCACAGCCGGAGCCCTGGCAGCCATACCCACATTCTACCACTGTTGCCATGTAAACCCATCTATCAGCTCAGCTTCAGAGATTCATGATTAAATCTCGAAAGACATCAACTATCCGCCATGTATACTCATGACATATACAGTGAAATATCTTGGATTTTCTGGATACCTCCAAACTCTACAATATCCCAGTAGGAGCACACCAGATTCGATGGGAATCTAAAGTAGAACCAAATAAGCTTGACTAACAAAAAACATTAACCCAAAAGGCTCAACTAGTAACAAAAGCTCAGTAAACCTTCAGACAAGGGCCTAATGTCCCATGGTGAGATACAACAATTTTCACAAATTTTCTTTTACTAAGTTTTTATTTTGATCATTCTATTAGCCACTTATTAGTAACAAGAAATATAAAATCAATTATTTTGGGCTGGCTATGCAGGCAGGCTTGAGGAGTGGATGGAAAAATGGGGGAAATGATGGAGGGAGGGTCAGAGTGGTGGGATTGGGGTTGGAATAATGAATGCCTGTAACAAATGCATCATGAACAACTTTGTAAACCACAGTGTTTAAGAGGGAAATTTTTAAAAGATAAAGATTATAAAGCATTCAAATAGGAATAGAAGAAGTAAAATTGTCCTTATTTTCAGGTAGAAGTTGTATAGTGAACCCTAGAAACTTCATCCAAAAAATTGATAAAATATCTGAATTCAATAAAGTTGTAGGATACAAAGTCAATATACAGAAATCAGCTGTGTTTTCATGCATTCACAATGAACTGCCTGAAAAAAAAGATTAAGAACACAATTCCATTTATAACAGCATCCAAAACAATAAAAAAATTTTTTTTATTTATTTATTGAATCACTGTGGGAAAGGTTACAAAGCTTTCAGGTTTATGTCTCAGTCATGCAAATATCAAACACATTTCCCTTTACCAATACTTATTTTTTACCATGAAGAACCCCAATAAAACCCCACCCCCCACCCCTCCCCGTCCCTGTGAGGCAGATGAATTCTAGTTAACACTCTATCTGCTTTGATTAGATTCATTGTTTCAATAAAAGATTCACCACTATTATTTAGAGTTTACCCCCCCCCCCAATCAGACATGTTGAAAAAGCATTGTGAAGTGATTTGCTTTCTACGGCTGGGTTCAAGAATTAAATGTTGGTTTTGGATTTCTGCTCTTTTACCTAACAATAAAAATTTTTTAAAATACCCCTTGTGTACTGAAAATTACAGAACATTGATGAAAGAAATTAAGCACTCAAATAAATAAACTGAAAGATCATTGTTAAAATATCTCCAACTCACTACACTGCCTCTGAGACCCCAGCACACTTGCACATGGCCCTGGGGGTCAGGTTTCAACACCAGAGCATGGGCTCACACATGCCTGGAACCACTGAACTCCCTTGCTGGCAGCCCTTTCAACTGCAAGCAACACATTAGGGGGGGAAAGATGTCTACAACCCACAGTTATATATATATATATATATATATATATATATATATATTCAATGAAACTCCTATTAAAATCCTACCACTGTTTTTACAGAAACAGACTAATTCTATAATCATATGGAATCATGAAAGTCCATGATTAGACAAATTAATCGTGGGAACAGAAAAAAACTAGAGACATCATACTTGGAATTTTATAAATATTTTATAAAGCTATAGTAATCAAAGCAGTGTGCAACTAGTATCCAGGCAGACACATTAATTATTGGAAGAGAATATAAAGCCCAGAAATAAACCATAAAGACAATCAACTGGTCTTTGACAGAGAATATACAATGAGGAAAAGACAGTCTCATCAACAAATATTTTGGAAAAACAATATCCATATGCAAAAGAAGGAAAATGAACCCTTATTGTACCTGAATCTAAAATATAAAAACCGAAATAGAAAACTCCTAGAAAAAATATGGAGAAAGCTTTAATGACATTCATCTTGGCAATGATTTCATTAGCATGACAAAGTAAAATATCCAGAATAAAAAGAATGAGAAAAAATATTTGTAAACTGCGTTAGGGTAAAAGTTCCAGAATATATAAGGAAATATAACAATTCAAGAAGAAAATAAATAACAACAAAAAACTCTCCTCATACCCTAATTAAAAACTAACTGTGCTAAGGCTTTGAATAAACCTTATTCCTAAGAACTCATACAAATTATTGAGATCTATATGAATAATTATCAATGTAAAAGTCACCAGAAAAAAATGCATATTAAACCCACCATGAGATAGTATCCCACATTTTTTCAGGATCATTATAAGAATATTATCAGAAGTATTATCAGAACTTGAAAAAATAAACTAAAGCATGCTGAGAAGGATGTGGAGAAACTGGAAATCTTGTACACTATTGGTTGGAAATAAAAACTGAGCTAGTACCATGGAATTGGCCCCAAAATATGAAACTAAAACTACCATATGACCCAACAAGCCCACCTCTAGGGATTTATCCATAAGAACTGAAATCAGAAACTTGAAGATTTAAGTTTTAGTATTTAAGTATGTAAGTACCTCCATATTCACTGCAATACCATTCACAATAGTCAAGATGTAGAACCAACCTACATGTTTATCAAACAGATGAATGGAAGAAGAAAATGTGGTACATCTATCCCAGGAAATATTGCACACTGAAGTAAATTTGGCAACACGTGACAACACGAACAACAACGACTTAACATGTAGTGACATTAGACAGCCACATAAAAACAAAAAAAAAACATAATACCATGTATGCAAGTTATCCAAAATAAATAAACTTGATGGAGTCAAACGGTGGAATGGTAGTTGCTAGGGAATAGGAAGAGGGGAAATGGGAAGCAGAATACCTGTTCAGATGTGCACTTGAGAAATATGATTTAAGAAAATAAAAGTGCTCATATTAAAATATGATAACTCCTGGAAGCCACATGAGAAATAAAAGGTGGTCAAAATTCTGATTGCAAACGAGATGTCTACTCAGTCTTTGTCTTGAGCTCCATTTGAATAAACTAAAGAACTGTAAGTTGTTGGGATGCTTAAAATGTCTCACAAGTCTTATTTTTCTTTTCTCTCTGGATTAGATACATTTTAAACCACAGCATTTAAAAAGTGTCACTTAGAAATGCTGGAAGTAAGTACCAAAGGCGATATATAGGTCAGTAGGTGGTTGCATAAACTAAATCAACTTAAGGCTTTATGAAATAATGGGAGGGAGTTCAAAACTAACTTAAGAGGAGCAAACTCAAATGTCCACAGGAGACAAGCCAACCAAAGATGGCAGAGTGTTTGCAATGCTGCAAGTCTGAACTGAGAAGATTTCAAAGTCACTAACAGATAAGCATTCGTGGTTGCCATGGATATACTTAAAACTAACCAGGTAGAATATAAAGATAGCAAGTCAAAACAATAATCTGAAAACATGAAAATTAAGAGGATCGGAGGAAAGGGGAAGTTAATATAGGAGACTGAGATCAAACAGTCAGGAAAAGACTATAGGAGGATAGTGTCAAGAAAGCAAGCCAACTTCAAGAAGCTAGGAGTGAATCAAGTGTATACAACAAGAAATGGAAGACTCAAAGCTGGTGGCCAGAAATCTCAGGAACAGAGGTAGTGAGCGGTATCAGGTAAGAAGCTTCAAAGGTATGATATTTAACAAGATGGAAGCAATATAATACTTTTTTCAAGTTAAGCATCTGAATTTTCACCATATATGTTTTTTAAAATGCCCTATCTCCGTTTCTTTAAACATTGGGATACTTATTTGTATCGTAAAGAGACAAGACAGGCTACTTTTCCCCATAGTATGGTTATTTCTCCATTTACTTTAAACTATCACTGACATATAACAGATGAATGACTGTATCACCACCCACACACCATTCTCTTTGGACTAAACTACTAGGCGTTTTAGGCCCTCTGGTGAAAACAGAATAATTCAGGTAGACACACTAAGGAAGGAAGACATTTATTATAATGACAGGTTACCTGAATAGAATACTTACCACTTTAAGAAACAGTATTTCTTTCAAAAAAATTATTCATCCAAATATATAACAACCACTGAAAATCACTGCGGCAAAAAAAGGTTAAAAACTTCCAGTTGCAATTGCCATCTGCTTAATTTCTATTTTCCCCCCATTTTATTTAAACACTGTAGTTTACAAAGTTGTTCATGATGTACTTGTCACAAGCATTCAATAGTCCAACCCAATCCCACCACCACTATGACCTTCCCTCCACTATTGTCCCCCATTTTACCTACCACCCCTCAAGCCTGCCCCAAAATAATTGATTTTATATTGCCTGTTACCACTAAATAGCTAATGGCATGATCAAAAAATACTTCAGTCAAAGAAAATTTGTGAAATCTGCTGCACCTAACCAGGGGGATATTAAGTCCTTGTCTGGGGGTTTACTAAGCTTTGATTGCTAGTTGAGCCTTCTGGGTTAATGTTTTTGTTAGTCAAACTTATTTGGCTTCTACTTTACATTCCCATCCAATCTGGCATGCTCCTACTGGGATGTTAGTATTGTGGAGTTTGGAGATGCTGTGTAGCCGCAAATGTGGCCATGTATTCCAGATAATCCAGAATATTTAACTATTAGTGAGTTTACATGGTGTCTAATTGATCTCTTTTGAGATTTAATCATGAGTCTCAGGCTGAGAGGGCAGATGAGCTTACAGGCAGCAGTGGCAGAATGTGGGCATGGCTGGGGAGTTTCTGGAAATACAAGGGAGGGGAGAATGGGGTTCAGGGGATGGGGGGAGTCACCTACTCCTATTCCAAACAGGTCCAAGTTTTCAGAAAATAAAAAATGGTGTACCAGAATTAATTTCTATTTTAAGGCCAAGATGAATAAACTCAAAAATAGTCAGTTGGGATAATTGCCCACCACTAGTTTTATTAATCGCTGTTTAATTTAAATATATTTGTAAGTTACAGCCATTTTGCTTTCCTAACTAAACATAGCATATTTTACAAGGTTTTTCTAAGAAAAGTTCACAAAAATACTGCATCATTGTTATCAGGGGGTTAGTTTATTGTATGCTTAGAATCTTTAGGTAAATCAAGTATGAGAAAAAAGTATCTATTTTAAAGAAAACAAACCACATTTCATGGTTTTATAAGAGAAAACATCAATGCTATTAACATTTTATAAGTCATTCCATAGAAGCACTTTGGAATTTTAAAGCTTCTTAATAATAACCTATCATCATCCCTATAATTCCCTTTATGAGGAAAATACAAATATGATAAAATGAAAGAGCAAATTCTTTGATCAGATAAACTTCATTGTACTGCTAACAAAAACCTGTTTTGGTTCAGAACTACTTTACTCTGTATTCTTGGACAGAAAACACTTACATGTATATGGAACATAACCCAGTGAAGGAAGACCATATCAAGGAAGAGAAAATATTCTGAATTACAGAAAAAAATAGTGAGGGATGGTCATTATCTTACTTCAAATCATTTAGTATAAATAATGTAAGACTGACCAGCAATAATGGTAGTATGTCTTCTTTTAAAAACCAAAGATTGGGGGCAATGGTGATGGCTCAAAGGGCTGAAGCCTCTGCTTTGTGTCCTGGAGTCCCCGTGCAATCTCCAGCACCAACCAGAGTTACCCAGCCAAGCAATGAGCTGAGAACAGCCCCCAGACACTGTGTGTGCCTAAAGACAACACAAAAATAATTCCTATCTTTAGCTTATTCTATACTGGCATTACTCTTAGAGCACTGTCTGTATAACTCTATCAATTCAGTCTTCATAATAACCCTGAGACAGATAATAACATTCCATTTTAAAGATCGGCAAACTGAGATAGGGGTTAAATAAGGATCTGACATAAGTCTGACCAAGAACTCAGTCAGGCAAAACTTCTAAAGTAAATCCTGAGAGATGCTTCCAGAGTCCGTGCCAGGATGAGTCTCATCTGGGGCACTGCAGAGGAGTGCAGGTGAATCCCACTACCTGCACAAACAGCCCCGGCAGCTGAAAACCTCCAGAACCCATTCCCAGCCAGGCTCACAGCCAATCTCCACAGGCTTGAGACAAGCCTCATTCATGAGAATTAATCTGCTGAAAATCCCAAGTATGTGGGTTTTGTGACCAAAATCTCCAGGTTCTCACGGAGTAGAGAATGGGCAACCCTCCCCATCTCCCTGTTCTTCTGGGAGCCTGGCAGTCATGCCCTCAAACTGCCTCTGGCGCCATATAAGCTCATTAAGGGCCATGATACAGAGACTCATAAATAAATCTCAGAAGAGAGCAACAAGCTGCAGTATGCCTCTGGACCGCAAAGTCACCATTCAGTTAAAAATTTAACTCCAATTGTATCACCCTATTTAAAATTTTAGAATTCCTGGAACAACATCTCATATTCTACACCACTGATATACCAAGAGAGAAACACCACATTTGATGGTCTCAGATAAAGCA